ACCCTACAAAAGAGCATTTTTTGAAAATCAAAATTCATTCATTGACCGACGAAAGGAGAGTGCAATTCCCTTTTTTATATATAGAGATTATAGGTTATATATCCCTCTAGAATATATAATTTTGGGTTACAGGTCCCATATTTTGCATGTTTAGGAATCCGTGTGATATATGATCAAATAAAGATTAGGGCCGCCCATTGCATGTGCATCTCTTAGGCTTAGTTTGGACAGGGTACAAATACAAATATGTATTGTGCAAATATAGGTTTACAAATATAAAATATAAGGCTTTGAACTGTACATATTTGTATTTGTATTCTTTTCAAATACAAGTTTATATTTGTATTTATAATAGGGAGAATGACGGTTCAGCCCAGGGCCAGAATTTTTAGGCCCAAAATACATTTGGGTAAGTGCCAACTCGGAAATGATACCAATTCATGGGCTGACATTGATGTATGTATAGAATTGGGGTATTTGACATTTTGAATGTTTATAGTTTTGCAGTGGTATTCAGAAATCTGCAATGGGCTTGTCCGTACTCCTCTGTTCATAATATTTGTACTGTAGATATTTGTTGTCTTGGTACTCTTCCCAAATTGAGCCTTAAGACTGATATAGTTTCTCTGAAACCCTAAAGCTAATTCTATTACACTGATTAATAAAAGTACATCTCTTTCTCAAAATTGCAAAAAAAAGGTAAAGAAGAAAAGTATGAGACAGTGAGTGAAGGTTGTCAAAACATGGGCAGTGATTCATTATATTTACAAGGACAACAAAAGGAATTATGTAGCATGAAAAAAGGAAATATGGCTGGGATATAGGGTTTTCTAGTTTGTTGGTGGATCAGTCTAACAGTTTGTTTGGTTGCCGAGAAATGATGAGATGAGAAGGGATGGAATGAGAAAAGATGGGACGGGAAGGGAAAATTTATTTTCTCATTCATGTCATATTGTGTTTGATTGATGAGAAAAATTTGCATACACAAGAAGAAGAGATTTCACAATCAATCTTCCTTAATAGTGCTACACAATCGTCATTTGCTTCGATTACCTAATCTTTGAAAACTTTTTCCCAGCTTTTGTTCAATGGGTGTGGGGCTACGAACGGATAAAATCAAGTTCAGATTGGGTGTAAACAAGAAAAAAAACAATATTTCGATTCATACAAATTGTCCTGTAAACAAAAACAATGGCAGCCAAGAAAATTAAAACCCCAAAACACAAAACCGTACAACAATGGCCACAGAAAAGGAGAAAAGCAAAACCCCCATAAATCAGAAGGGTACCATTTCTCAATCCGATGTTGGATTCTTAAGTGTTAATATTGTAGAGAACACCTTCGTAATGGATTTCGCTCTTCAATGTCAAGTTAATCAAGTTGCCGATGTAGAAATCGGTCGACCCACCAGATCTTGATGCCTCTGCTGGTGATTTTAGCAATAGAAGCAAATACAAGGCAGCATACAGAGAACTATTCTTTGCATCGAAAAGAGAGAACCCTGGCATTTTCCTTCTCCACAGCCGACAGCATGAGGGGACCGATGAACGTCGCCGGAGAGCTATTCTTCGTTGAGAACGTTGCCAAAGACTCACAAGAGTCGCACCATTTCGATGTGACCCCGCATCCTTGATTTTGGGAACCGGCATCATGTGGTTTCTCTTCCCATCTCGACGAACAAACACCAAAAAATAAGAATATAATGAGGATATTCCCATTCTTGCATCTCAATCACATAAACCAAACGTACCCTAAGGGTGTCAATGGATTGGTTTGGTTTGGGTTGAAACCAATATAAATTAAAATGAAATTAAACAAATTGAACAATTTAGACATTGAATTGGACCGATCCAAAATAGTCCAAAATATTCACTGGATTAGATTGGACCTGGTCCATTTGTAATGGACTCACACTAGACTGGATCAGATTGGACCAAATCCACTCCAATTGACAACCCTAGATCAGTGTAACTATCTAGGGTTCTACCACCTGGGTCAATAATGGTTTAAAACATTGCAAGGATAGAAGGGATTTGTTAAAGAAGATGAATTCTAAATAAAAATAAGATCGGAATTGAATAAACTTGGGCATAAAATTCTTTTTGACCTTTGTATCTCATATGGACCAGATGTGTGGTAAGAACAGAGATATATAAAAGGGATACACAATGTAAATTATTAAAATGGATAAAATGGAAAATTAAATAAATAAAAGGGATAATTTCAAATATATAAAAGTTAAAATGAGCATGAAACTCCAAACATGGGAGTGAAACTCTCTGTCTCTTTCATATATAGAGATAGATATGTTCCTTATAGCCCCTCTTCTCTTTTATCAAAAAAAGAAACAAGGTACGCTACATTCCGCCATAGCGTTACTTGGAAGCCATGGCGACTCGAAATAATTAAACATGATGTATACGCTATTGTGTCATACCACATCAGTTTTATTTTATTTTTAAGAACTTCCAGTAAATTAAATTCATCATGCACATTGGTTCCATTGCTTTCAGTACTCAATGATTAGTGGTTTCCCAATCCTCTTGATACATCAAGCTTTAACCCTGTTTTTTATATGGTCCCCGCCCTCTCAACCTATCAAATTCAGCTAATCCGAATTCTCTTTAAAACTAAACAATGTACAACATTGGAAAGGAATCCGGATTTCCTCCTCATAGACATAGAATATGCACCTCTCACCAACTTCTCACACTGATTTCAGCGGTGCATTGAACTAATCATTCAAGCCAATTATAGTTGCATATGAGTTGGCTAATGGAGCATCTAGAAGCTCCTTTGTCGTGGGCCCTTACGGCCCAAGCCCGTTTGGTGGCACAGCATTCATTTTGGTTTTGTATTTCATCATGGTCCTTACCCTCTATTACTGGAAATAAAAAAAAAGAAGAAAATATTCAACTTCTGAATGTGATTGATCACTGTTATCGTCATTCGTCACCAAGGAGCAATGTAAACCCACGATACAACCAAATTTCAACTTGTATCTATCAGTCTTTCTATTTTATTATTATATTATTTTTATGGTATAAAATATCAATCAGTCTTTGTGACTTTTGTGAGAGAGATCATACTTATGGCTCATAACTTATGGGCCTCAATGTTTAATCTAAATTGGCGTTTGATAATACTTTTTAGACGTATGAAGTTTGAAATATCTATTTTTCAGATGCAATGCTTATTTAGTGTTGCATCTGAAAAGTTTTTTCAGATCTGAAATTGTAAAATGCAGGCTCGTCACTTAATACACTCAAACACATTTAAGATGCCGCTTAAAGTAAAAAATACTCCTATCCCATTCGATCTCTCTTTCTCTCTCTCTCTCAATAGCATCACTTGCTATCAAGAAGGTGAGGTCGAAGGAATCAATAATTAATAATAATTAATAATTATAAATTATTATTTTTATTAATTATTTTAAATAATTTTACTTGTATTATTTATTATTTATTAATTATTTAATTATTTTAATTTTTATTTATGTAAATTATTAATTATTTTAATATTTTATAGTCATTAATTATTTTTTAATTTTAATCATTTCATTTATTAATTAATAATTTTTAATTATTAATTTATTATTTTTTATTCATATTGTTTCAATATTATTTTGCAGTTGAAAATTATTTTTTATGAGATAATGAGAATTGAATTCAACATTTCCAAATAATATGTTTTATGGGTAAAATAGTAAAATCAGTAAATTTCAGATAATAAAGGGTTGATCCAATAAAAACAAATGTATCAATTCAGAGCCTCTAAAAAGTAGAAAATCACCTATACTTCTTTTCGTATTTCAGACAATATCTTTTTAACTTTTCAGATTTCAGATTTATCAAATGCAAGTTAAATTCTTATTCTCAGCATGAGATGCACGAGCGTGGAGCCATGAAGGCTATTTTTTCATTCTAAAGAGGATTTCCTACTCATTTTTCCTATAAATTGAGAGATGTATGACTATAATTCACGGCCCATAGAGAGTAGATAGGAAATCTAGTTTCCACAATAAAACATTAAAACTCAACTGCCCTAATTTTTCATTTCGACACAGACCCGGTGCTCGGGCAGTCGGGCTGGCCTGCTCTCGTAGGTATTGGATTCCAGTGTACGGTTGCACAGTTATAGGTCTCAGTCTCTAGAGTTATGCTGCTTTTAAGTGCTTGGTTCGAATCATTGTTTATCAGAGTTATCACCCTCACCGAGGCTGTGTTGTGGAGTGCTTTTTCTTTTCTAAACGGGCTTTTAAACAAACACCTTTTTGTTTTTTTGTTTTTTCTTTTGAGTAAGTGTTTATTTGGATAAACACATATTTGAGCACTTGGTTTGACATTCTAAAAGGCTTTTTCTTTGTAAAAGGGCTTGTCCAAAACGTAAAAAAAAGCATAAAAGTCCAAAATTTTTAGCTTTTTGGGGTAAAAAAGTGTTTTTTTTTTTTTAATTCTATTGAGTTTTTTAAGTCAAATGTCCAGTTGAGTGCTTTTGGCTTCTAATAAACAAAAATCCAAACAAGCGCTCCCAAACGCACCCAGATCAACCATGGTTGCCATCGTCCTTTCGCCAATCACTATAGAATCTAAATGGGTTTTTCTCTGGCAAGAAAGAATATTCCAAACTGTATACAAACAAGGAAAACATTAGATACTCCCACTTCGGGCTCGTGATATACAACCCTCATAAGTCCCAGTCGTCCAATGAGAATGATCTATGCAGAAAACCTAAAACAAAAAACAGCTACTACACGTGTCGCGCAATCAACTGTACATCATGCTGGATCAGGACCATCATACTGATCATAGCTCTGACATAACAGCATTCCCTCCAAAAAAGAAAGCGTCAAAGGAAAGGATCTCTCTCGCTCCCTCTAAAAGCTGGGTGTCGGTTCGGATTGTAGCGTGTACACTTAGGGCTTTGGGCCTTCGGCTTCTCTCTTCTCTACTCATCTCAACTTGCGAAGAGGGAAAATTAAAAAAGGGAAATAAAACTAAAACAAAAGAAAAGAAAAATCAGAAACGCTACAAAAACGAAAGGAAGCAAACAAATTAAAAAAAAGGCCTCGTCTCGTCTCGTCTCGTCTCGACTTTCTCTGTTTCGTTGAAACCACAAGCAGAGGAGGAAAATCTTACACGCTAACTTGCTCCGTTTCCCCGAAACGAGTTGAAATCCAGGAAAAAGAAAAAAGGAAGCAGAAGGAAACTCCGAGCTTGAGCTAATGTTTCCGGTTAGATTTTCTATAGGTTTTCTGAATCTTTATTCGGTCCAGATATCTATGCGACAGGAACAGATTGCTCTGTATCTCTAGGGTTTTGCTTTTTGGTTGGGGAGATTCCGAAGCCGAAGGAGGACACAGAAAGGGAGAGGAAGAGAGCGGCTATGCAAACGGAAGCGCGGGTTGGGGTCGTCGTCGAGGGAGGGCAGCGAGCTCTAAATTCTGGCCATGGCGCCTCGAGAGACGGCGGTGCTCGGAAGTTCGCGCATCAGCAGAATCAGCATCAGCATCAGCAATCCTTGCACCAGCAATCGCAGATAGGAACGGTTTCTCAGCTTCTTGCTGGAGGCATTGCTGGCGCCGTCAGTAAAACTTGCACGGCCCCACTTGCTCGACTTACCATCCTATTTCAGGTCGGTTTTTCCAACCGTTCTTAAGTCTTTTTCCTAAATTTAGATGGTTAGGTATAATTTTTCCTTAAATGTATATGCCTATTTTCTCAATTTTCTTGGTAGTTGGTTTCGATGTTGTAAAGATCCCTCTTTTCCTAGAGGTTGAGGGGTCGGGAGGGAGGGGGTTAGGTGATTGGTGAAATGCTGTTTGCAAATTTAGGATTCGATAGAACACGTCAATGTTTTGATAGGTTTCACAGTTTGTTATCGTAATGGGAAGGTGATTCCTTTTCTGATTCTTCTATCTGGATATGCACATATGTTCGTTATTATTCGGGAACTAGAAGGACAAGGAGCCCTCTTTGTCCAGGGAGTGCACCTCGAACTACCCTTGGTTTTAGGTTACTTGAGGTGGTTGCACGGTTGGGGTTTCTTATCAGAAAATCATCCTTATTACGGTCTTCAAGTTAATGCAACCTAAAATGGCTTTGTAGAGCTGTTTTTAGTTTGAACATTGCCCATACTTCTTAAAAATGTTAAATCTAAGTGCCCCTATGGTGGCATGCCTGGTCAAAATAACTGCAGTCTATCATTTTCCTAATGATACACTTCATAGGACGTATGTTTGGCATCCATGACTGAAAGTGATATGGACACGTCTGTTTGATCAAGATACAAGGAGCATGAGTTGTTGAGCTTTTATGGCCAGTGCCCAGTGAAGAGCTCTAAAGTCTAAAATACCATAGATCATTGGAGAATGTTTGGTTTGTTAAGTGAAAAATGGAAAGTCTGGAATTTGAAGCATGTATAATGAGGGCAGAGAGCAAGACACCTGAAGGAAGGAGAGTTCAGCAAGCTGAAAGGTTCTAGGTTGAGTAAGTAAAAGGGTTCCTGTGACTATTAGGTTAGTTCTCCTTTAAGCATATGTTGAAAACTTTATCAGCTGGAACATTTTGACTGCTTAATGTGAGAACTATAATTGGGCGGGCTTTCTGCCATAAGATACTTCTCCACTTTAAATACCAGCACTTTTCTTCATACAAGGTCGGGGTGGGGAGATTATTTTTTATGATAGTGATGTTTTGAATATGGATGAACATTGTATCTTCCATCTCTTTTTGTACAGACTTTACATACTAAGCCTAAAGGGACTGAAAAGATTACTAGATCCCTTTTTTGGGATTCAGGGCAAGATAAGAAAGATCATTTGACTAGTTGGAAGAAGGTGAGTGCAAGCAAGGGGGAAGGGGGTAAGGGGTTTAGGAATTTGGAGATCAGCAGACAAAAAATATCGCTCTCCTGGGAAATGGCTATGGGGGTTCTCTGAAGAAAGTAGGGCATTATGGCATTCGGTGATCAGAAGCATTCATGGCATAAATCTAAATGAGTGGGACTTTGGAATTGGAAGAGTCACCACTTTTAGGAGTCCCTGTATTCCGCTTATTAACCCAACACATTAGGCATGATCCTTTAGTTGGTATCCTTTGCCAGTTTGGGACTCTCTTGGAATTTGGGCCTTAGAAGGGGATTGAGACCTTGAAATTTTAAACCTCCTGAATGGAAATTTTAAACCTCCTGCTGCCTTCATGAGGAACAATTGCAAATATGGCTTCTATAAGACCTATTGTAACTGAATTTTGGTCCCCTCCAGATGTAGGGTGAAAGAAACTAAACTTTGATAGGAGCTGTTCGGGAAACCCTGGCCCATTGGGCATTGGTGGGGTAATAAGGGAGAATGGAAATTCACATAAGATGGATTAGGAGGTCAGCTAATAGCATTGCTGATGGTCTAGCCAAGCAAGGAGTCCAAAGGCAATCTATGTTCTGGGCTATGTTGTAGCTAGTGGGATATCCCTTGGTCCTTTCGGGGCTTGTTTGTAACTAATGAATTTCTTTGTTGGGTTAAGCTTGGGTCTGTATTGTAATTAGTGGGGTTTAGGTGGACTTTATGTCTACCCAAACATGTGTTTCCTTGCATCAAAGTGGAGGATGAGAACGTGGAAACCTGATCTTATTTCTCTCTCTCTCTCTCTCTCTCTCCTGTCTCTTTTAGATCTCTTTACCAAACCAATGCACCCTCCTTACCTTTGTCCATTAGAGCCATATCGACAGATCCTTCTCTACCAAGGATTTAAAATGTTCTACTAGAAGGCCATTCTTCAAATTATTAACACATGTGAAAGGCAGCAGAGGAAATGGGAAACCTTGTGCTTGTCCCCTCATATATCATCCTATTTTTTTAGGAGTGGAGAAAGCACAGACCACCATTTGTTGACTTATCCAGTTGTTACTCGGGTATGACACTACTTTTTTTCTGTCCCTTTGGTGCATCTTGGACATCCCCTCCAAACATAACTTGTCTATTTTTGGCAAATTTGATCTCTTGTTAATGATAAAAAAATGATTTCTTGTTGTACTAAGAGAGTGGAAGTTATGTGGCATTTGCAAGGGCAGCCATATTATGGAGTCTAGGAGGGAAGGGATGCAAGAATATTTGGAAAAACAAAGAAAAAAGTCCCATCCCTGGCAGAGCTAATTACAGTGAGAATAGCACATAGGGCATTGTCTTGCGAAGAGTGTCATAGCGGACTCTAGAGGAGTGAAATCCAGAGAGGGAATATTTGAAATGTAAATTGATGTATGCAGTGTAGGTAATCTTGGTTCCTCCGGTATAGGAAGAATGGTGAGAGACGACAGTGGTAATTTTCAGCACAGATTCAGGACTAGTAGGGCATGAGAACTCTCTAAGAGCAGAACTGTTAGCTTTCATTCAAGGATTAAAGTTGGCATCCATGAAAGGATGGACAAGTCTGATTGTAGATGGTAACAGCCTGAATTTCCATTCTGAGTGTGAGAGAGTCATGATATAAAGGTTTCCGGTTCAAGAAGCAAAGGAATTTGGTAACAGCCTGAATTGCTCATTCAGGTGGATACCTGGTACCTAGATCTGCCAATCACTTGACAGATTCTTTAGCAAATCTGGGATTGTGTTGGAAAACGTGTTGTAGGGATGTTGGACCTGGGATGGAATTGTAGACATTTGTACTTATTTATTATATGCTTGTGAGGTCAGCTTAGTGCTGTTTCATATCTTGCCTTTGCTATAAAGGGGAAAACAAAGAAAGGAAAACTCGAGAAGAAATCGCCTTTTTTTTTGGGGGGGGGGAGTAGGTGGATTTGGGGTGGGGCCCTTTGTCATTGCTGCAATAGAGGATGATACATCATAACTGTGAAGATTGTAGAAAGAGAAATTTTCGGGGTAGAACCCTGTTTCCCTAAGAAAAGAATGATGGATAGAATCTGGTAAAGAGGGGCAAGCCCTGTTCCCAGTAAACAAGAAAAGGGAAGGGGGAATGATTGAAAGAAACAAACAAAAAAAAAAAAGAAATAAAAAATGACAGTTATTACCCAATGTTGGTCCTGGCTTTGCAGGGGCATAGGAGGGATAGCCTAGATATGGACCTAGCTTTTGTCAAATTTTGCACAAAGTGGTTGCTCTCAGACTTGAACCTACATTCTCACACTTGTCAGAATTAGAAATAGATATGTAGAATAAAAGATGAAAAAATAGAAATCAACATAAAATACATAAGCCCCTGGGGCATCTATATGGTACTAAGGAGAATATTAATTTATTTTTTCCAATAGGTAATGTATAACACTACTATATTACCTTTTCAAGAAGTTGATTAATTTATTAAAAAAAGTTAACTTGGATTATCCTTCATTTTAGTTCTGTTCAAAGTTCAATGATATCTTAGGATGCTATATATGAACATAATGTGGACATATTTGCATATTATGACTCTGTTCAGTTTCAAATTCCCTTGTCTAAGCTTGAAATGATATCTTCAGCCTCCCCTGATATATTTTTTGTAATTGTAGATCGCTTGCAGAAAGCATTTTCCCTTATTTCAGCTATTTATTTCACACCATATGATCTCTTTAGGTGCAAGGTATGCACTCTGATGTTGCAACATTGAGCAAGGCTAGCATATGGCGTGAAGCTTCACGTATCATCTATGAAGAAGGTTTTAGAGCATTCTGGAAAGGGAACCTGGTTACAATTGCTCACCGTCTTCCATACTCATCTGTCAGCTTCTATGCTTATGAGCGCTACAAGAATGTCAGCACACTCCTTTGTTCATACCTGTTTATGCCTCAACTAAATTTGTATTGTTAATATTGCATAATTTCTCATTAATATATTTTGCATATTTCTTGCAGTTACTACAGTCAATTCCAGGACTAGAACATCATAGAGAAAACTTGAGTGCAGACCTTTGTGTGCGATTAGTAGGTGGTGGTTTGGCAGGGATAACAGCTGCATCTATTACATATCCTTTGGATCTTGTTAGAACACGTCTTGCAGCTCAGGTAATATCTGTATAGGGTTGTAGCAAAGTTGTTCCTTTTATTTTATAGGGAAAATTCCCGATAGGTACCCTGTACTTTAGGTCGAGTGCCAATTTAGTACCCAAACTTTAAAACGTGACAATCTAGTACCCAAACTTTCGAAATGCGACAATCTAGTACCTACCGTTAATGGACCGTCAGTTATGTATATCACATGACATCATGTGCAACTTAACTTTTAAAAATGTCAAAATTACCCTTGGAAATAAAACACACTGTTCATCATATTCTTTCTCAAGAAAATGAAACAGAGCCCAAGCTCTCAACAGTCCAGACCATCATTTCATGACGAAAACCCATCAAGGCAAGAGCCAAAGGAAGACAGTTACAATTCATGTAAACTTAGAGTTCAACAAATTTTCTAAAGCTCAATCAAAATCTTCAGGTCTCTGATGCAGAAGCTCCACTTCCAGAACACACAGAAACCCTCAAGCTTTGATTTAAAGCTCAGCTCTTCCCAATCTTCATAGCTTTATAATGACTTGAAACTTATAGAATTCACAGAACCCATGTCTAATATCCCAAGACCTACTTCTCGTTACGGTGAAAATTGATCAAACTCAGACCCTAAATGCTTGATTATATTCAGTTTCTATTATTACTCAAATCCCAGCTCAGCAGCTCTGCAAGACTAAAAACTCAAATTTCCAATCTCCAGGTTTAAATAAACAAAACCCATGTCTAGAAACTGAGAAAATTCCAACTGAAGCTAAAGAAAAGTCCTCCTTTCTGTCTTTCTGAAATATCAGTTTCTCAAATAATCAAAACAGCCACTTTTCTAGAACCCAGCTCAAAGAATACATTCTCAATCAAGAGGAGGCTAAAGGCCTCAACTGAGTTCCAAGAAAATTATCTATCTTGAATTCTTCTTCTTAAATCACCAAAAGACCCATGTCAAAGACTCCCACTTGAAAAAACCTTCCTTTCCGAGAAGAAAATGAATAAGAAATTAACTGTTAAGAGTAAAAAAAAAGTCAAAACTATTAAAAGGGTCAAAAAACAGGAACAGAAACAGAGTTTCTGGTCAGCTTAAACGACAATTTCTAGTCATGGGTGTAGTCGTCGATCTTCACATCCCTTCTATGTAAGTGTCTGACGGTCTGGACTTGACTCAACAGAAGAGATAGTTTGGTTTTGCCTTTGCTTCTTTTGTGAAACCATGTCATGTGAAAAGGACAACAGAGGTAATACAAAATTTGTTTTAAAAAACGACCCAGAATGGAGCCGTTCTGGCCACCGGTTTCTGGGTCGACAGTTCAACTGTCTGTAGGTGCTCAGCCTCCCTCTCTATAGTTGTTGCAGATTTGCAGATTTGCAGATGGTTGATAAAGAAAATTAAATGGCATTTGAAGGGCATTGGTGTCTTTTCCCATGACACTTAACGGCTGGTTAACAGCAGGTACTAGATTGTCGCATTTCGACAGTTCGGGTACTAGATTGTCGCATTTTGAAGTTCAGGTACTAAATTGGCACTCGGCCTAAAGTACAGGGTACCTATCGGGAATTTTCCCTATTTTATATTATTAGTTTCCATTGTTCATCTGTATTTGCTATTTTATTGAGGTATTCATTATGACGTAGCACCAAGTGATTTGTTACCAATTTGATTTTAAGTCTAAGGATAGAGATTGATTAGGTAATATGATATCTGTATGGGGTTGTAGCAAAGTTGTTCCTTTTATTTTATATTATTAGTTTCCACTGTTCATCTGTATTTGCTATTTTATTGAGGTATTCATTATGATGCAGCACCAAGTGATTTGTTACCAATTTGATTTTAAGTAGGATAGAGATTGATTAGTTTAGGAAGTGTTTCAAGGCTTAACTACAAGAATTGCAAATTTGTTCCAAAATGATGAAAAATTTGAAATTTAGAGAACATATGTAGGATTGGAATTTTTAAATGAAATTTTGTAGGTAAGGTTTGAATGGATAGTTGAAGAGGGTGACCAAGTTTGTAGGGTTTGGAGCAATTGTAAATTTGGATTGGGTCAGCTTTCTAAAGCTGGGCTCTTTTTTCACAACTTGTTGTAACCATGATTTTTTCTAATCAATGAAATCTTTTCTGTGTTGCTGATCTTCAAAGGGTTTGGAGCATGTCTTGCACAAAAAACCTTAAAATTATGGAATCTAGGGTTCAAGGAGGAACTTTGAGATGAGTTTTAGTGGGTTGGAAAATTACGGAGATCTTCGTGTGGGTATCCAAATATGAGAGCAATCATAAATAGTTTGGCACAAAGAAAGATAAAGCAGGCAAAATTCAACAATTTCAGGTGTTGGCATAAACTGAACATACCTAAACCAATTTTAATCCTTTAGAGATGTTGGTCGAATTCATTTGATGAAGAACTTGGCTGAAATAGCTGTGGACTTGGAATTATTCAATGAGCATATAGATTAACTCTAAGATTTATGAAAATCATTCACTGTGTGTCATGAAAAGTATCTATATAGATCCCCTGGAATCGAATGGAACACCAAAGTGTGTTTTCAATTTATCTTAGAAATAAAAATCTTGATTTAATGTATTGCCAATATATTGGGGATAAAGTATGGTTAGTTTGTGGTTTTCCAAGATTCTAATGAGCCTTTAGTTATTGTTGGGTCTATTTGAAAAGCATTTTTTACTTTAGTGAAGCAATGTTAAAAGAATAATGTTCCCTTTGTCTGCAGTGCATATCCAAACCAGGTGCAAATTCTACATCCAGTTCAATTTTGCAAGCATTTGTTTGACACTACGATTTGTGTCTCAATCTGATACAAAATTTGTACTTATAGTCTCAGTTTTACTCATAAGCAGTTTGCATCTCAAAACAGCAAAACCTAATGCAGAATTTGCACCACCTTCCTCCCAGTTCTTTTTTTCCCATATAAAGTGGGGACTGCTTGCAGATCCATTCATTTCATTTGTAATGTTCTATTTGCATCTCAAACAAATGAAGCAAAGTGAAACCTGAAGCAAAGGTGAACAAGAATTTGCACTGCCATGCATTTGCACCAGTTCAAATCTGTTTGCGCTGCAAACAGACAGAGCATAAGTTTCCAATATTATGACATCTTTCTTATGGAAACTTTGTGGTAGATGTTTCTATTGTTCAAGAGGAGTCCTAGAGTGTTTTCAAAGCATTAATTGAGGATCAGGCTGACTGCATCACTTACTAGTCGGTTGATACTTGTGACATGGCAACCTAGGACAACTAAGCATCAAGGTCGGCTAGTCATCATTAGGACAAACTAAGCATCAACTAGGTCGACTAGTCAACAACATCTCTCCCTCTCCAGACCCTGCATTTGGCAAGAACCTTGTGCACTAGTCTGCCCTATATTCATGCTGTTGCTTTTGATATTTGTGATGGAATATGATTGGTTAATAGTATATAGAATAGAAACATAGGATAAAAGAAAACAGGGGCGTTGTTTCAAGTTTTCTTCCAACCACATTCTGTGATTCCTTAAATTCATGCTGTTGCTTTTGATATTTGTGATGGAATATGATTGATTAATAGTATATAGAATAGAAACATTGGATAAAAGAAAACAGGGGCGTTGTTTCAAGTTTTCTTCCAACCACAGGCTGTGATTCCTTAGCCTAGCCTATCCAGCCTAAGTGTTTTATTTATTTTTAATAACAAAAAGAGACTGTAGGTAGCCGACCCCATATAGTTGGGATAAGGCATGGATGGTGATGATAACAAACCAAGACTGTAAACTAAATGTTCAATCATTCTTCCCTTGCAAAATTGTAGTTTATGCTAATTTATTCATTTCTTATTATTAACAAAAAACATATTTTTTTTTATAGACTAGTTTGCTTAGGCACTGACTAGTCATTGCATCGACTAACAGGATAAAATGATCAGTTATTGTTTCACGGCGTTGTTATAGTCCAATATGAGGGATCTTGGGGAGTCACACTTCATATACACTTACTGACGCTTAATGCACATTTTCCATTGATTGTGAAAAATAGTAAAATTACTTCACTGAAAGATCTCGGGTTCCAAGTAAGGTGGAGTTCAGAGAATATGATTGCTGATAACAAGTCCTACCATGGAGAAAAAAAAGCATCTCCAACTAATGTGCTAGAAAAGAATGAAGATGTTTATCATATGCTGATGCAGTGTTTTCAACCTGTCATTGACCTGGGTGGTTCAGCTGATCAAACTGTTACCTGGAGAGTAGAATGGGTCTGTTTTACTCTAAACCTGAAATTTGGGCTCTCTTTTTATCAGCAAGAAGAAGAATTTTATTATTAATAATTGAGTGAACAGGTTAAAGAATTATAGTAACACACAGAAAGACGATCATTGCCAATATTACAATACAGCTCAAAAAAGCTGCTGCCTGTAGACCCCTTGTTTGGCTAATGAGTCAGCCATCCCATTGCCAGCCCTTCTAATCCATGTAAAAGATGCGTCGAGCTCCCTTGCCAAGCTTTCAATCTCCCTTAGGGAGTGGCTATAAATCCAAGGAACATTACCCCTGTTGGTAATCCAAGAGATCACCAATTGTGTGTCCCCTTCAACCTCTAGGTTTTTAAAATCTGCTTGCTTAGCAAGATTTAGACCTTGTAGCAGTGCTGACAGCTCAGCTTTTTGAGTCACCAACCCCCAAAGGTCCTAAATACATCGCCAACTGGTCCATTTTGGTTTTATACATATAAAATATATGTTATAACTTATAAATAAATACACAAGTATATAATATAAATATTCATAAAAAAAGTATGTAATAGAAATACTAAAAATATATGTTATAATATATAATATATTTATATATAATTCATATAAATTTGTATGTAATATATTGGATTATATAATATGTGTATTAAACACACACACACACACATTAACCACCAGCTTTTCTTCTAGGTTAATCGAAACCGAACCAATACCACTGGTTTTTGAAAAACAACAAACTGAAACTGAACCAATAAGTCTGGTTAACCAGATTTTTTGGGG